CACAGGTACCAGCGGCATGGCGATTAGCTCGTGTCGTTACTATCAAGAAAACTACTACATCTTCGACAGCGGCAACCCTCAAGGATTTTAGACCAATCTCTATCACCAACATCTTTGGTCGGATCGCAGAGGCAATGGTGGTTTATCGTATGGAGTGTCAACTTGAGCGCGATCCTACTCTAACTGGTTGTCTTGACCCACATCAACACGGGTTTCGACCTGGAAGGAGTCTCGATGAACACGTTGCATACTTACATTCATCTTTTCAGTCTCATCTAAGTTTAGGGCGCATGGTAGCTTTCATCTCTCTAGATTGGACCAAAGCATATGATACTGTCACATTGTCGATCTTGTACAACCGACTCTTAGCCACAGGCATACACCTCTCACTATGTTCGTGGATATGGGCGTTCCTTCGGGGACGACTCTTTTATGTTGAAATCGATGGAAAGCGCTCAGCTACTCGGCAGCAGCGACAAGGCCTACCTCAGGGCTGTATCTCCTCTCCATTATTATGGACTATCTACTTGAATCCCTTGATAAAGCAGCTCAGCGAGAGTTGTTCTCTGCAAACTCATCCAGCGTATAGGCTTGCCGGAGTAGCCGCCTATGCAGATGATCTCTGCCTTTGGAGCGTCGGGTATCTCCAAGAAGAAGCCGATTACCGTCTCAACTATAACCTTCGCCTCATCGAGACTTGGGCTACTGCCAATGGCATGGCCTTGTCCCCTAATAAAACTCAACTAATTTATTTCCGCCGATGTCGTAAGCGAGTCCCTCATCTTCAAACAGTGTCTCTCAACTCAGAGTGGTTGACACCTGTCAACGAAGTCCGGATATTGGGGATTACGTTCGATTGCTCCCTCACCTGGGCGGCGCAAATCGAACATATTCGTCGTGTAGTGCGACAACGCTCCTCGGTGTTACGCCGATTGAATGCCACACCAACGAAGTTGCTTCGCCGCATCTACCTTCAATTCCTCCAATGGCCTTTTACCTTGGGATGTACAGCTTGGACTTGGAATCTTTCCAAGTTTCGCTGGAACAGGCTATTGGGATGTTATCGGATGAGCATCAAGGCACTACTTGGCTGTCGAACTACTTCTTCCCCTTCTCTAGTCCAGCGTTTGGCACAACTTCCTCCTCTAGAGCGATTAATCCTCTCCCGCTGTGACAAGGTTCTTGAGTGTTGCAGTAGATTGGTGTCTTCCCCACTACAACAACTGTGCCGCTCACTCTGCTCAAGTACTACTCACACCCCTCCGCCTTCTACTATGCTACGCTGCACATCGTTGGCAGGTTATGCCTCCTACTGGTGTCCTCAATTATTCCAAAATCCCCCACCACAACGGTATTTCTACCCCCCGGTACCACCAAGTCTCTGTATATCGCCAATACGAGTTTCCACAACACTGGCCTTACCTCTACCCGAGACTCCAACTACCCAAGAGTACAAACACGCGGTATTGGCAACGGTTGGACAACATCTTCTGCAACGTCATCTACTCTTATTTGTTGATGCCTCTTTTCGGCCGCCATCGGAACTACCGAGAACTAATGTGGCGGGATATGCTTGGTTGTTGGCTGGCCCTGACCGCTCCACTGGTTCCTATATGTATGTCGGTCATGGGGGTGACGCACTAGGTCCTCATGTGCCGAGCTCCTTCGAGGCAGAACTGCAGGGACTTCACAACGCTCTATGTCGAATCCTCAACACCCCACGCTGCGTCGATTCCTTACGGCGTTGCACAGGCATCTTGGT